CACCCCACCACACACCACACTACACACCACACCACACACCACACCACACTACACACCACACTACACACCACACCACACACCACACCACACTACACACCACACCACACTACACACCACATTACACACCACACCACACACCACACTACACACCACACCACACACCACACCACACTACACACCACACCACACTACACACCACACTACACACCACACCACACCACACACCACATTTTCCCTTTCCTCCCCTCCATCCCCCCCTTACCTGCAGCACTGACGGAGAGGCCGCCCCGGATGTCAACAGGTAAAATGCCAGTAGCGGCAAATCGCACCCACGTCCCGACACGCCACTGCGGCCGCCGCCGCCACCGCCACTGCCGCCGCCGTCCCCGCCGCCGCCACAACTTTCGCTCTCGCCGCCGCCGCCAGTCACCGCCGCCAGGATGCCCGCCATCGTCGGCCCTCCTGGAGGCCCCCTGCCGCTGGCGCCACCGTTAATCTCGTTAGCCGTTAGTGCTCGAGCTAAGAGCGACGGCGGCGGTGACGGTGGCGGTGGCGGTAGCCGCTGTCGCGGCGATGATGCGACGTCCGAGTCGACAGGGGCAATGGCGGAGTTGAGGGAGGTGGTATGCCGGCTGGGTGAGGGTCGAGGGAATACGGATCCGAACGCCGCCAGTACGGTGGAGGCTTGGGAGGGCCCTCCGGGGGGGTGTCCCCCGCTGGGAAGAGCGCTGGAGAGCGGGTGCTGGGCCTCGAGGAAAAGGAGAGGGGGAACGGGGGGAGGAGGAAAACGAGGGGAGGGGGAGAACACGGGGAAAGTTCGTTGGGATCGAAAACAGGCAACTGACATAAAGACGAAAGGTCCAACGCATCAATGACCGGAGTTCAAAGCAAGTCCGGGCGTTGAGTTCTTTGTTGGTTAGATGGTTCGTCGCACTCGAACAGTAAACGATCCCCCTTGGAGGGGTGAAGAGCGGGGAAGTGCCTCGAGCGGAGGAGTATTTTTAAGAGTACGGCAAACCTCATGAGCATCCTTAGCCCCAACCGTTACGCCGAGCATATAGACATCCGCACTTACGCGGGGGTGGTAAGGGGGTACGGGAGGTCGGTGGCGGCGGGAGTGGTAAGGGGGTAGGGTCCCGAGGGAGGGGCAATGACAAAGTCTCTTCTTCTTGCCCTTTAGGGGACTCCGTCTTCTTTAGGGGAAGAAGAAGTGTTCCACTTCGGGGAGACGAAGGGGTACCTTAACTACGTTAAGGAAGACGTCCCCCAAACGCAAACACTGAAGGCTGGACTGCCGTACATACACACACAGACATACACACACAGACACACACAACAGCCGTTCCCATTACCCCAACAGCCGACGAACATTTCCCCCTCCCAACTCCCCGGTTGGTGGGAGGGAGCAGCTCACTCCCCCTCACACACATATATACATACATACATACATACATACATACATACATACATACATACATACATACATACATACATACATACATACATACATACATACATACATACATACATACATACATACATACATACATACATACATAGGGGATAGGGTGTCGAGGCGCGGAGGGGGGTTTTGAGGTGGTGGGGGTGGTAGGGAGGTCGAGAGGGAGGTTGAGGGGATAGGTTGCGAGGGGGGCGGGATCAGGGATGGGGCTTGGGGGGGTGCCGCGCAAGGGGACATGGGGGAGGGAGGGTTTATTTGCCTGGGGGAGCCGTACCGGCGGAGGGGGGGGAGACCGGGGAAAGGGCGGGGAGAGCCGGGGGGGGAGGGGAAGAGGTAGAGAGTACACCAAGAGGATGTAGGGTTGAGGAGTGGTGAGTGGAAACAGGTGGCCGTAGCGAGGGCGCGGATGAGGGGGAGGTGGGCACCCAGAAGGGGGGGCCGTACTCGAAGGTGCGCGCGTGGTGCAGGACTAGGTTCTTCAGGGTACGAGACCGGGTTTTTCGTGGTGCGGCGTCTAGGTGAGATAGGATCTTGGGAACCAGCCGTCTTGGTAGAGCGGTATTGGGGGGGCGCCGAGCTGGCTACCCTCCCCCCCTGTGGTTTCCGGAGGCTGGATCGCCCTGCGTTGCCGCAGGGTCTTCCCGTTTGAGAACTTTTCAATTTAGACCCAGTGCTGGGGGAAGGGCGCGGGACTTGTGCGGGGGTTACCCCCTTGACGGGGGTATCTCCCCGGACTAGCCCAGGAGGGAAAGGCGGAGGAGGGTAGTATTCTCAGGAGGCTGTTTGGCGTCTTGTGGTGTGAGCTCTTTGCGCTCTTTTTTGCGTGAGGATTTTTGAGCTTGGTGACCTCCCCAGCCCGGGAAGACTCGTCGGGCTCCCGGTCGCCCAAGTCCTGGTAGCGAGCTCTCTGAGATGCTCGGTTCGTTCGGTCGGCAGGAAGAGCCCCCCAGTTGCGACTTCGTTTATGTTCGGAGACCAACGGGCATAGATCCCGTCTAGTTGGAGCGCCAAACAAGCGCTGTTGCGTGCCGGCCGTCGTTTCCCGTGCGGCCTGACCCGGGGGCGGAGTGCATGAGACTAACCAGCCGTATGCACCCGCCCCCCGCGCTGTGCTTCGGCCCTGGGCCCCCGGCTTTTCAGCCCACAGTGTAATCAACGTCATACATACATACATACATACATACATACATACATACATACATACATACATACATACATACATACATACATACATACATACATACATACATACATACATACATACATACATACATACATACATACATACATACATACATACATACATACATACATACATGCTTGGTGAGGGACGAAGGTGAGAGCGGTGCAGTACGAGACAGGGTGAATAGGTTTCTGGAGGACCAACCGTTCAGGTTAGTGGCGGTAAGGGGGAGGCGCCGCGCGGGCTACAATCCTCCCCCTGCGGTTTTCTGGAGGGTCTAGGAGCTGTGTGTCGTGGCAACGCTAACGCTTTGGTCGTTTCGCCGGACTATCCCGGGCCCCTGCAGTGGT